TCTCACAGCTGGCGGATCTTTAGATCGCTTCATAAAGCAATGCTCGCGGCCCCTCATCCCCGAATTCACGGTCAAAAATGAGTACGAGTGTCTTACTGTAAGTCAGGTTTCAGTTGATATCCTATTTGAAAAACTAAGCAATGATAGATGGGCAAAAGCTTGGTGCATTACTTCTACGGCAGCAAAAAGGAGCGCGAGCAATACGTGAATTCTATCTTGCCACTAGCGAGGAACTACAAGGAATATCTTTTATTCACGACAATAAGTGTGGAAGAATATCCCCAAATGGCGGCTGCTGTCGGGATCAAGCCCGGCTCGACGAATGTGGTCTCAGTACAGAGCCCTCACAATGGCGACGTCTTTCCTTATACTCGCAGCGACCCTGTTGATGCTGAAAACATAGATGCTTTCTTGAAAGACATCATAAATGGCAAGGTATCGAGGTGGGACGGAACATATGATGCTATGGGAGGATTGGATATAAGACACGATGAACTATGAACAAAATAGGCCGACAGTATTTAGCCATGAAGTTAGCTTACTAGAATGAATGAGAGCCATTATCGTCTTCTTTGAAGTGGTGATCACGGTTGCTGAGTTTCGACAATCAAGACAGTTAGGCGTGTGACATTTGATTAAGCTCATCATATGTGAGTGTTAAAATTGCGGTCGTCTGTGGCTTACCCAAGACTCAATGGCCACTTAGTATTTGGATCTATATAAAGCCGCCAAAGCTCCGGAATTTCCGATCCACAGATGTTTATGTCGTGTTGTTTCCAGATTGACTTAACAGTGTCTTCTGCCCTTGCTACGTTCTATTTGAAGTTAGCAGGTCAACTGACGTGTAAAGGATGATGACTTATGAGACTTGCCCCAAGACATTTTGTTCTTCTCAGTAGACAAAAATAGTCGGCTACTTTGTATCGTGCTTCTTCGGTGATTGCAGATGCGCCGGCTACGAAAAGTGGCCATATGATTGGAGTCATCCCCCAAATTGGCGAGTCTCTTTCTTCCATCAGACTGATCACAGATGTGATACAGAGCAAGCAGTTAGCCACTCTTGCCTGGACAGTGTTATGAGCCAGGCTTAACCCTTTGACACAGGTATAAAGAAAGACCAACGCAGCCTGTCTCCGTGCTTCAGCAGTCAATATAAGCAGTTTGGCTCTTGTAGAATTGGGATCCATGAGACAAAGTCCTACACGTTCTTTTAGATCTGACCCTTCGGAAAATGTTACAGGTATGTTTGCAGAGCGCTGATTGATATTGAAAAGTCGTCGTTCAAGTTCGCAGATCTGAAGTGCGAGGAACTCATGGTCCATCCAGCCATTGGACTTGTTTCTCGCAAGATCACTCATCTCTGAGGTGGCAGCCATGAGCTCGCTTGAGCATCCCATGAAGCCATCGATCTCCTATGGGTTAAAATATTAGCATTCCAAGACAATGACCTAGTAAAAGAAAATGACCATGACTCACACGGTCCTCCAGTCCCTGACTTAGCCAGAAATTGGATGTTGATAAAAGAATAGAATCCTCAAGCTCATCAGGTGATACACCGTTGACGCGCTGATATCCAAAGAATTTATTTGCCCACCATGATATGCCATCCGACCAGAACTCGCGCCTGCTCGATTGGACTTTAGACAGCAGTATTGATCGGCCACCATACAGGTGCTTGTCCCAGTTCGGCCCAGAACCGTCTTTTATTTCAAAAACGCAGAGCATTATTGCTGTAGCAATCATCTCCTCATGCTTCCGCTCTGGATCATCCTGATATGACCTTCGCAAATGAATCAGAGCATTTTCTTTTTGTTCTAAAGCGCGAATATGGTAACTCGGGTCTTCTTGTTTTCGATAGAAGGCGGCCACAGCCAGGACAGAATGCATTACCGACTCATGGTGTGCTGACATTGGAATGATGATAGTCCTGAATCCATTCGAGGAATCATCATACATCGTACATCGAGGGCATATCTCTCGTACATCTGGATTTAGTCAGCTGGTAAGATTCTGGGCCCAGGTGGGACGAGTGCGGACAGTACAATACGTGAAGAGTGTCTCGTCAAGCGGAGTGGACAACTCTAGAGGCGGAAACCACGAAGGTTCTTCTACTATTGATAGGCTCGTGGACGTGGGACTTGATTCTGCTGAGCTCCTCAATCCGAAGGAACTTGCCGAGTCATAGTCGGTGCTATTCCAATCGTCCTCGTCATCCTGGTTGGAATCCTTTGCGCTGCCTTGAAAATCAAAAACACTAAAATGAACAAAGTGAAGTGGCTTTTGTCTTTCAGTGTGAATATTTGGCGGTGTGGCTTGAAGGACGGTGTTCGTATCCCCAGTCTCTTCGCCCCACTGTAGTCGGAGACCGTATTCGCAGGGCAGGTGAAGCCGAGTACATGCACGACATGATGGTTTCTCTTCTGAAGTAAGTTGTGCTTTAGCCCAGTTCCATTTTCTGGAGGATAGTGGCGAAGGACTAACCAGAGCATTTCACCTTTCGCTCTAGATCAAATAAGCAACATGAGCATCCACACGTTTGTATCCGACTTGGCGTACTTACTCTTGCATGGCCAGCAACCTGTTCGGGCTTTGGGCTGCCGTCTTCCGATGTTATGGGGCCGAACTACCATGATGCCCGATCTCAGTCTGTCGAAATAGGGAACAGAATGCGAGCTCGCGGGGGAGACCATCGGCATGGGTCGCGTTCATAAATGAAAGTCTTTGTGTGGAGGGCCGCTAGGAACAAGCGTGCCCAATATCAGTGTCTAGTTCATGTGGGTCGCCTCCGCGCCGGTCCAAGGCCGCTGAAGCTCTTGAGGATTTCAGTGGCCCACTTTCTGGTCGGGTTCGATTGCCTCCCCCAGCTTGGGTTATCATTAGACCAGAACTGCATCCAGCGCAAACCGTGCGACAATTGATAAAGGGTGGGTGGTGGTCGGCCTGGGCTCACGCTCCAGCTCCGGCAAGACGTGTGCCCCCAAGCTTCGGGATATGCCATCGAGGAGTAGCTAATGCGTTGGACAGCCATTGCTCTTCTAACAACCATCTCGTTATGACGCTGGAAACAGCCCAAACAAAAGGGGACTATCCCACTAGGCAGCTTGCCATTCTTTGTAAGTCAATACGTAAAGTTGCATCATAATACCTTGGTACTTCCTCTAATTGATACTCTTCATAAAGTAACATGCCGCCTCGTGGAGCCTCTCGCAATCACGTCGATTGTTCCGTACATATTTTTGATGGTGAAGGACATACATCCAGAAGCTCGTGATGCAGACGCCACACGATACGTCACCATCATCTATTCGGCCTACGCTTTTGCTCAGTTCGCAACGAATATCCTTTGGGGTCGCTTAAGCGACCTTATAGGCCGCCGGCCTGTTATGCTATTGGGACTCGTCAGTGTCTTGATAGGCACTGTCGGACTCGGCTTTAGTCAATCTATCGCGTCAATTCTGGTCTTCCGAATGATCCCTGGACTCCTGAGTGGCAACGTCGTGATTACACGAACCATGATTGGAGACATGGTCCATGGGCGAGAGAACAAATGTACCTTATCCCGACAATGGGAGAATCTGAAGCTAACTGTGCACCAGCAAGAGCATTTGCATGGAACCAGACCGTGTATCAGATTGGGTATGTGGTTGGGCCGATACTTGGTGGTTATTTAGTACAACCGTGCCTGCAATTCGAGCACCTCTGCGATCACAACAAGAACAACCTGCTCAGAAGATACCCCTTTGCTCTGCCAAATCTAGTCATTTCTGTCCTCATAAGCATCAGTTTGGTCGTCGCTTATTTTTTCTTGCACGAGGTAGGCGTCAGTGGGGAGGCGCTGTATTCAATAATTGGGCTAATGAAGGATTTAGTCCCTCGATCAGACAGCTCCCAGCATGATGACAAGCGAGTCAATTGAAGAAGCCCCATTACTTGAACAGCCTCAGGGCACCAAGGTTGCCTCAATTTCAAGTATATTCAGCACGAAGATTGCACATGTGGTCATTTCATACGGCATCATGGCACTGCACACAATCTGCTTCGATCAGATATTCCCGGTATTTCTAGCGACACAACACGTCGCGTCAAGTCTCCCATTCCTGCTCAAAGGTGGCCTTGGCATGTCGAGTGTGATGGTAGCAAATTTAATCTCGGGCTCCGGTATACTCTCAATTGTCCTCATGGTCACCATATTCCCAAAGATCGATTCATTGCTAGGCAGTCTTCGTTGTCTCACTCTAAGCCTGCTGGTGTATCCGGTAACATATTTCTTAATACCTTACTTAGTCATTGTTCCAGGCTCGCTACCTTGCCTTCGATTAATTGGGGTCTTTGCAATTTTGTTCCTCAAGACTTTGGCGGCGGTGTTTTCATTCAACGAGAATGCAGTATTGCTTAATGTTGTCGCTCCATCGCCGAGTGCGCTAGGCTTGGTTAATGGTGTCGCGCAGACAGCAGCAGCCGGAGCTCGTGCGCTAGGGCCTGCAGCAATGGGTCTTTTCATAGGGCTTGGTGATAAAATAGATTCAGACGCTCTTGGATGGTGGTTTTTAAGCACTACGGCGTTGGCCGGTGCCATTCAGGGGTACTGGGTGTCGGACGAAGAGAAAGACGAGATTGCAAGCTAAGACCGCCAGCTGATGAGCTAAAGATCTGGGGTAAATCTTACGAGCGATATTAAAATATATGTGATACCCTGCGGGAGTGACCCAGTCTAGAGGATAATATTTATACATAGTATGTGGAACTTGACCGCTCTAGCAGAGGTAGCCATCGGATACCATGGACAATACATTATACGGCGTTTTCGATAGATATATTTCATATGACATAACATTGATATGGTAAAAAGGGATTTATCAACGAGGCTGTCAGAGAATGCTATGACGAATTGGGTAGATAACCACCTACTAAAACACAATAGCATTGAGACGCTGCGGTAATAGCCAACAGAGGTTGAAGGTAGATGATATACAGATTTCCGAAGCAGAAGAGACTATCTCTCAGCTTGTATACACGAATGTCTTGTTCTCTTTGTCCGTCATGTCAAGGAATCCACCCCCTTCGGCCTCAGAAGCCTCCCTAGCCTTGTTGGTTCGCCAGTAAGAAAAGCCAAGACCAACTGCGAGACAGATGCAAACACAATAGCTAACCAACATAGCTGTGATGCCTCCCGTATATTCTGGAGCTTGCTTGGCGATAAACGTCTGCGGCCCTGTTGAACGTCAGAAAGACTCTCAATCGAATCCCAGCGTGCAACGTACCGATGATATTTCCGACAGCATAAGCAAGGTACATCAAGTACGACACCGTAACCTTTTTGGTATGTCCAGCTGTGTTGGCTTGGTAGATACTGAGGGCAATCATGTAACCGGCATAGAAAGTGTAAATCAGATACACACCAGCAAGTCGAGCGCCAGAGTTCGAGGTAGGAGTGACTACTCAAATGTTAGTGGCAATCTTAAGTTGCAAACCCATTCATGGACGAACCAATGTTGAGGATTGTGCCGAGAATGGGAACAAGGAGCACGATTGCCATGATTAGAGTACGGAATCGCTTGGTGCGTGCCGCGAAGACACTGGCTATGAGAGCAGCAAGTGTTGAGAAAATTCCTTTGATAGTCAGTCTATGCATGACAATAGTTACAGGATAAGATTGGACTACCTGTAGGGATTTGTAGCAGCGTTGTCGTATGGCTTGAAAAGCCGAAGTTCTTGATGACCAACCCATTGAAGCTAGTGAAACCCAAAGTCAGCATCGAACGAATAGAAGGAATAGGCGATAATATTATCATGGAGATTTTTTTAGCTGATTATAGAATGTTATGCTAAACAAGGATCAAAAGACTTACGTGTTGAGACCGCCATTCGGAATAGTCACACCGATAATATAGAAGAAGAGCAGCCATGACCGGTAATCGAGCAAACACTCCCGAAGCTGGTACCACTTCCACTGCTTGTTCTGGATACCCGTTTGGTTCTCACTGACCCTTCGGACCACCATGGCTTTCTCACGAGGTGTAAGCCATTTGGCATTTCCTGGATTGTCTGGCAGATAGAAGAAGACGAAGATGCCCCAAATGACAGTCACGCCACCTAGAACAATAAACAGCCATCTCCAACTAAGAAGAGAGCCGGAGCCAGCAGGAATGAACCCAATTGCAAATCCGATGAGGCCATTGATGACAGAGGAATATGCACCGAAAGTGATGGTGTTTCGGAGGGGCTGTTCGGATTTCTTATAGAACATGGTATATCTAGAAGCGATACAACTGTCAGCCACAGTAGCACTTTGATGATAGATTACTATGCCTACATGATGGTAATTGCAGGAGTCGAGCAAGCCTCTAGACCGCCGAGGAGAAATCTGCAGGCTGCACAACATGTTAGAGAGCGTAATCAGTTGTTGCATGGTGAATGAAAGCTCACCCATGATACCGCCAAAATTGTGACAAGCAGCCATCTTAGCAGTATATCAGTAAATCTTCTTCGTTATGGTGAAAGGCGCAGATCGTTCAAGGCCAATATCTCAGATTGTGAATGATTCATGTGCAAAGGCGGACTCACAATCATCTCAATTGCTCCCCAGAGAATGATATTGACAGCATAATACTGAGCCGAGTTAACACGAACATTTGAAATTTGAAATCAATAGGTGACGCTTACCTTGCCAATTGGAAACCGATGCATTGCCCAAGATGTGGGGATTAGAAAAAGAAGACCACCAAAGTAGATGATACTGCCAACCCAAGAAAACTGATTGCCTACAAGACCCAAGTCTTGCTGGAGACCGTAAATCGCCGCCGTAGAGACGGAGACCTTGTCAACTCCATTGAGTGTTGCGCATACCGTCATCTAGTTTTCATGTCAGGTGCTGTTGGCAGTTTGATACTGCTCGACTTACCACAGGAATGAGACGCCAATCAATCTTCCAGCGGAGTTTTCGGTCTTCTTCTGACGAAAACTCCTCATTGGCAAACTCCGCGGTGTCTGCTAAGATCTGGTTGGCAACATCGTACTCTTTTGAAAGAAGTTTGGGTGGCACGGCCACCTCGTCAGTTGTTGTTGGGACTTTTTCGATATCCATGATTGTTTTAGCTGCTGTCCTGTTGTATTTACTTTCGTCGTACATCTGGTAGATGGCAGAAGTCGAGCACTTATCATGGCTTCTTATAGTAACAGCCTGCATTGGCACCCCGCCTCACATGAGTGAATCTCTCCTGCCATTTATCGAGAGTGGAAATGAATGTGAAGTGTGATAACGGGATTCGATAAGACATCCTCTGGCAAACCCCAAAAGCGAATTCGGATTCATAGCGTGCTCTAGTGGGTCTAACAGATTGCGCTAACAACTGGGGCAAGTGAATCCGAGCTGCATCGCTTGGATCGTTATCGTTGAATATGGGTCTTGGATACGTGCTTGACCAAGTCTAGCGAACTAAGCATGAAATCTCACCAATCGTTCTCACGAGTCAAAATAGTGCCAGAATTCTAACTAAGAAAGTCGTCTCATGCGGGAATGACAAGAGGCATTTCCTACTTTTAAGGGCGTGCCATAGCCGAGCAATCTAACGCCGCTGACCACCCTAGCCATCCACCACAGCTCTACCACATCGTCGGGTTCTACTACCATAATTAGGATATGAGACGGGATGGTCGCATTCACTTACCTTCCAATTGACCGTCTATCAATTAAGTCTGCGACCTATTCTGTGAGATAAGTGTGCTTGGGCCTGGACACGAGGAGGTTTTTCAAAGCATCGCCGGTGCTCCTTCTCAATGTTCTCCAGAGTGATTGCATACATCTGGTGAATGACCACCAAAGTTCATTCAATCTCAAGCGCTGAGCTTCTTGAATTCAGCAAATCCAATACAATCATCCCACAATGCCTTCTAAAGCAGGTATACGTATTGCAATCGGTACTGATGTCTGTCCTTCTGTACCGTCTCCAAATTAACTTCATCGTAGACCGCGGGGGCACATTCACGGACGTGATTGCCTCAAATGTACCAAATCAGGAGGATGCGGTTGTCCTGAAGCTCCTTTCCGAAGACCCAGGAAACTATTCCGATGCACCAATTGAGGGAATTCGGCGAATACTATCGCTGGCCGTTGGCCACGAAATTCCCCGTGGTGTGCCGTTAGACACCACAGCAATTGAGAGCATTCGTATGGGGACCACAGTAGCCACAAATGCTTTACTTGAGAGGAGAGGGGCTCGCTGTGCTCTTGTTACAACCAAAGGTTTCAGCGATTTGTTGGCTATTGGCACACAGTCAAGACCAGACATCTTCGCTCTGTGCGTACGAAAACCTGGGGTGTTGTACGACAGAGTAGTAGAAGTAGACGAGAGGATAACTATGGAAGAGTTCACTGAGAATCGAAGAGTACAGTATGATGTCATAGAACAGACATTGGAGACTGACCCGAACGTTGTAAGGTGTGAGAGCGGAGACATTGTGAGAATACTCAAGCGCCCAGGTAAGCGGTGGTGATTATCATGCATCTGATTTAAGCAACTTATTTTGACTCTATCGCAGACTTAAACCAAGTCCGATTGTCTCTCCAAAATCTACTGGACAACGGAATTCAGTCCATCGCGATTGTCTTTGCTCACTCTTACGCTTATCCTGATCATGAAAGACAAGTTGCGGATGTTGCTCGTGAGCTGGGCTTCACATTCTGTTCACTGTCATCTGAACTCAGCCCGTCAATCAAGATGGTCAGCCGAGGCCTCAGTGCTACAGCAGATGCATACTTGACCCCTGTCACAAAAACGTATATTGATGGTTTTCGGCATGGATTCGAAGGCGCCCTGGAAGGTGACAGCAGCGTACGCTGCGACTTCATGATGAGCGATGGTGGTCTGACAAGCTGGAAAAGGTGTGTGTCTGATTCGGAGTATCGCTCTTTCAGAGCTTATAAAATGGGGTACTGATATGAAGCAAAGCTTTTCTGGGGTCAAAGCAATTTTGAGTGGACCGGCGGGAGGATATGTCGGTTTTGCAAAGACGTCTTATTCAGATGAGGACGGCAGGCCAGTCATTGGTTTTGACATGGTAAGTTCATGTCAAGAAAAGGCCGGTATTGTCCTAATCATTCCTTAGGGCGGCACAAGTACTGATGTGTCTCGATTTGGAGGCACCTTCGAGCATGTCTTTGAAAGCACGACTGCGGGCATAACTCTTCAAGCACCGCAATTAGACATCAACACGGTTGCGGCTGGAGGTGGCTCAATACTGACTTGTAGAAATGGACTATTTTGTGTCGGCCCAGAAAGTGCCGGTGCACATCCTGGTCCAGCTTGCTATAGGTATGGAAGACTTTGTCATCTGAGTGGATGATGGCTGACCACTTGTCCAGGAAGGGAGGTCCGTTAGCAGTCACCGATGCGAATCTACTTCTAGGGAGACTACTTCCTGAATATTTCCCTGCCATATTTGGCCCCAAGGAGAATTTGCCACTGGACATTGAGTCGACTCGTAAGCTGTTCAAGAAGCTTGCTGTCCAGGTGCACGACGAGACAGGGCAAGCAATGAGTCCAGAAGATGTGGCCCTAGGGTAAGTGTATTGATGGATTAAACATGCAAGTTTGCTAACCAGCTCCCTTAGCTTCATAGATGTTGCGAATGAAACCATGGCTCGTCCCATCCGCGCACTTACTCAGGCGAGAGGATACGAGCCTTCAGCACATCGCCTCGCTGTCTTCGGTGGCGCTGGTGGCCAACATGCTTGTGACATGGGGCGGCTGCTCACCATCAATTCAGTTATCATTCATAAATATTCTAGTATTTTGTCGGCGTATGGGATGGATCTTGCAGAGGTTACAGATGAGCAGCAAGCTCCTGCGTCTGAATCATACACCATCAGCTCCCTAGAGCGCTTGATGGACCGGGCCGAAGCTCTGAAGACGAAGGTTCAAGAAAATCTCAGCAGCCAGGGGATTCCCAGCGCCTTGATTGAAACGGAAATATTTCTGAGCATGAGATTTCAAGGAACTGATACGAATCTTATGATACAACGACCAGACGATGGCGACTTTGCATCAGTCTTCAAGACAGCATTTAAGCGAGAGTTCACTTACTTGCCTTCTGACCGCGACATACTGGTAGACGCCATCAGAGTCAGGGGAAGGAGTAAGACTCAACTATCTACAGAGCTGACACCGTTTGAGGAATTAAACGCACTGCGTACTGGAGCCTTACCACGATGCGTGCCAGTGGCTGTGAAGACGACAAGTGTGTATTTCAAGTCTTTGGGTTGGACGAACACGCCAGTTTATCTTCTCAATGAGTTAAAGGCGGGATCTCACATACCAGTGAGTTCGTTTTGATTTTCTTCCAGATGTCATGCTGATTGTCTCCGACTAGGGACCAGCAATGGTCATTGACAACACACAAACGATATTGATCCAACCTGAATGTACCGCTATCGTCTGCTCTCGGCATGTAGTTATCGATGTTGCGAGTCAATCCAACACCGAGGACCCTTCCGAGACTACCACGTTAGAAAGTCCAAAATGCAGCCCGGACATAGTGGATCCTGTTCTTTTATCAGTCTTTGGTCACCGCTTTATGAGCATAGCCGAACAGATGGGGCACACACTTCAAAAGACATGCGTCTCGGTCGCCATCAAAGAACGGCTGGACTTCAGTTGTGCCCTGTTCGATTCAAATGGCGGCCTGTGTGCAAATGCCCCCCATGTGCCGTAAGATATCATAATCGATAGTTTCCTTAATAGCGCTGACGAATGAAACAGTGTGCATTTGGGCAGTATGCAAGGTAGCATACAGTTCCAGCATGCCTTGCATTCAAAGTCATTGCGACCTGGTGATGTTTTAGTTACTAATCATCCACTGGCTGGAGGGGTGAGTCCACTGATCTCAAAGGGCAAGGAGAATGTCGCTAATTCGAGGCTAGACTCACCTTCCCGATATCACAGTCATCAGTCCAGCATTTGACGCTGCGGGTGAGCAGATCCTCTTCTATGTAGCGTCGAGAGCACACCATCTGGATATTGGAGGCTTGGCTGGCAACTCAATGCATCCGGATGCCAAGGAGTTATGGGAAGAAGGCGCCGCGATAATGTCCTATAAGCTCTTGTCAAAGGGTGTCTTTGATGAGGAAGGAATAACCAAGATCCTTGTTGATGAACCAGGACAATATCCTGGCTGTTATGGGTCAAGACATCTAAATGATAACTTGTCGGATCTACGTGCCCAGGTTGCGGCAAATGCTCGAGGAGTAAGCCTCATTACGGACTTGATCCAGGAGTACGGTGTGGAGACGGTGCAATTCTACATGCGTGCTATTCAAGCAACATCGGAGGCATCGGTTCGACAATTCCTTAAAGATACTGCGTCAAGAGTTGGCAACGTGCTGCAAGATGTTGACTATTTTGACGATGGCAGCAAGATATGTTTGAGGGTGACTATTGATCCCGTTGATGGAAATGCAGAGTTTGACTTTTCCGGCACGAGCACAGAAGTCCACGGTGAGTTTTAGTCGTTCTTGAGGATTGATAGTGACTGACTTTACAGGCAACTCCAACGCTCCTCGCTCGATCACAATGTCTGCGGCAATTTACACGCTCCGCTGCTTGATTGGATCGGATATTCCCATGAATCAGGGCGTTCTCGCACCTGTTGACATCTTGTTACCAGATGAGAGCATCATCAATCCGTCTGCTGATGCGGCTGTCAGCACTGGCAACGCATTGACCTCCCAAAGATTGGTCGATGTTATATTGAAAACATTCAAGGCCTCGTCAGGCTCTCAGGGATGCATGAACTGCCTCGGCATGCTTGGTGGCCCAAGGCCAGACGGCGGATATGACTATGCATATGGCGAAACAGTGTGTGGTGGAAACGGCGCTGGTCCAACATGGGATGGATCTCAGGTTCCCACACAGGTTCATATGACGAACACCCGGGCAACAGACATTGAAGTGCTAGAGAAGCGATATCCACTGATCATGCGGGAGTTCTCAATTCGCAAAAACAGTGGTGGTGCTGGGTTGCATCAAGGCGGCAATGGCGCCCGCAGAGTGTTTGAAGCAAGGGAGCCACTCACATTCTCCTTCATGTCTGAGAGACGCACCAATGCACCATATGGCCTCGCGGGTGGTGAGCCTGGCGAGCGGGGCTTAAACCTGTGGGTGAAGAAGACGAAAGATGGCAAGTTCCGGACCGTGAACCTGGGTCCCCGAAGCATGTTCACCTTGCAACCTGAAGAGCAATTCATAATCAACACCCCTGGTGGAGGTGGCTGGGGGAGATCCGGTGAAGCAGTTGTAGGGGATTCTCAGGCTGAAAAGCCGGTAGCGCCGAAGGCATACCCGCGAGCTGCTGGTTCCCTTACAGCATGGAAGGAACTGCAAGAGAGTAATTAGTTGTAGTCCTATTTTTGCGCTCTGCGCCCTCGCAGTGATTAAGTAAGGCGCTTGTTATCCAATCGTGAAATTGTAAGTCCAAGCTGGACAACCAGCTACTTGTTCCCGTATAAAATTCAATCATGACCAGAGCATTGGATGATTTCGACCATGAGATGCCTAGATAACAAGTTATCTGGCGATTCGGTGCCAGTGCAATAGTTTGATGGTAATGAATCGTCTCCAAGGAATGCGTAATGTCGCTATTTCGGAGACTCCATATCGCTGAATCACAGATCCATCATTATTGTAACATTTGATTTCGTAGCGAAGGACCGGCTCACCAGCGATCCTACCGGAGTACCTACTGAGACATGGCGCGCTGGGAGGAGCGCTAACCAAGTATTGTTTTCTGGACATTTGCGGAAGGTCAATTGTTAGTGTTTGGTGCCTACTTTGCGACAGGGGGAAGTACTATCGTGGTGTGAATTCTGGTGAGCAGCGCCTGCTGTGGTATTCACAGGGCGCAGGTAGTATATTGTTGCGAGTGTTGCAGGGGATGGCGCGAGCGATGCAGACCGAACTTCAGTGTTTGTCCACTCCGTCGACGTTGGCCTGCCATCAGCACGCCGATGATCACCGAATAACTAAAGTATTTCATTTCCAATGATACATTCTAGACGTCTCTTTGGTTAAACTCTCAAGCATTCGCAATGGAGACCTGCTATCTTCCTCTCGACGAGCAAATTGCTTATCTAAAGACAACGCTCAAGCAAAACAAAACACTAGTCACTGTACTAAACCGGGCTGCGTCGATGAACCTTCCAGGCTGGTATCTCGCTGCTGGAGCACTGACACAAACGGTCTGGAACGTGGTGACGGGCCATGATCCTGAAAGAGGCATCCACGACTACGACTTAATCTACTTCGACAGCTCGGATCTGTCATGGGAGGCCGAAGACGTGGTGATCAAGGCCGGCGCGCAGCTCTTCGCCGACATACCGGTCGAGGTCGAGATTCGCAATCAGGCCCGGGTGCACCTCTGGTACGAGAAGAAGTTCGGCGTGCCGTGCCCACAGCCCAAGTCCTCGGAGGCGGCAATTGATGTTTGGGGGACAAATGCAGCATTGCTGGCCGTTCGTCTTTTACCTGGCGATCAGTGGAAGTTCTATGCGCCTTGGGGCCTCTCGGATATCTTCAAGTTGACAGTCCGCCCCAATCCGGTGATTATGACGCGGGCGGCATACGAGAAGAAAGTGTCTCGGTGGCGCGGTCTGTGGCCAGAATTGACTGTCGTCCCCTGGCCGGAAGCAACACCGGAAGTCGGTCATGCTGAAGAGTGAACTCTTGTAAAAGGGTACACATGGATGGCATGTCAGGAACAAAGAAGCATATCAGTTCATGGCAATCGCTAGTCTAGAGACGCTTCTGTCAGATCTGCTTGCCTTGGCTTGCCCATCGGCGTCTAATCTCCCCGATGGAGGCCATAGTTAGTGCAAACGGTAGATAAACAAACGCTAAATAATTGGTTCATTCCACTAACCGTCGCTCACCACCGAAAGTTCCACAATTCACCCAAATGTAAAACACCACAACTGCATGACTCACCAATCGCCAGGACATTTCATACTGAACGGCCTTGCTCAAGCTCAAAAGCGGCTATATCACTTTAAATTGAACGCAGATCGAAGCCCAGATCCTTAGCCCGGGGAGGTGTAAAACTTCCTCCGTCATGGAAACAACAGTGGTGATTCGACCAGCTCAAGAGAGCGACCTGCAGCAAGTTGCCCAAATACATAAGCATTATGTGTTGAATACGGTATGAGATTAGGGCTGAATCGATCTGGCTTCTCAGCTCACTTAGACCAACCACACAGGTTGCCACATTCACCGAGACTCCAGTGCCCTACGAATGCTTCATCTCCACGTATCAAGCAATCACTAAACAGGAGAACCTTCCTTACCTGGTGGCTGTAGACTCTCAAACATCGAATATCCTGGGCTATGCCAATGCACATGGCTTCCGTGGCTCTAAAGGGGCTTATAGACACACTGTCGAAATATCGCTCTTTTGTCACCCTACGCACCTTAGCAAAGGAGTCGGCTCCAAGTTATTAAAGTCTTTAATCAATGCATTATACAAACCCCTAGAACATTCCAGCCTGAGAAGTTATCCTGAGACAGAGCCGCCCCCGATCAAACAGGTGCTTGCTGTCATGGCTGTAGATGAAAATGGCAAGAGAAACGGCCTAGCGTTAAAAGACTTCTACGAAAATCATGGGTTCAAACTTGTACAATTACGCCATATATCAACTTCTTTTAAATCACTGGCTGATGTTTTGTGATAGAACGGTCATTTGCGACGTGTGGGTTACAAGTTCGACAGATGGTATGCATTCAGTTCCTGTACTAGACGTCGGGAGAGATGACATCTAGTTAAGTGCTAACGCTCCTATCACTAGGATTGATACAATGTATCTTCAGCTGTCTCTTGAGTGAAACTTCTATACACTCATGATTCCAGCCATATATAGATGCGGGGATCCGCCGCCTCGAGTACAAAGTGTTAAGTAAATCAGCCAGCAAGTATCCTAGCTCACACACTAATAAAATATAAGGATTTTAGAGCAGATACTTTCTTTGTATTCGACAACGGGGAACCGGTATGGCCTGGTTTGCTGGCAGAGTGGGCCGAGTGGTAACTTACGGAACTTCAGGCTCCGTAACCATACCTTATAGTCTTCCATTAACATTTGAAAGCCAATACCTGATTCGTGGACATAACCCCAAACTAGATTGCCCAGCCTAACGGCTCTTCGCGATGTTCGTTCATACCAGAGGCGTTCTCGACCTAACACCACCGAGTGGTAAGGTGATAGGAAGCGATGGGCACTACTCGGCTCCCGCTGCCCCGTGTCCCGTATTTTGAGCGAGGAGAGTCACGAGCCTTCATGCTACGATGTTACCTTGATACAAGCTTTGAATTCTTTAGACTGTGTGCGGTCTAGTCTGGTATTTCCTACAGATTCATTGTGAATTTGAGTAAGGTTCGAACAGGCGTGGGTGAATATCAAAAGACAGCACTTTGGTAGAAGTCCGATTTATGAAAATGGTTACGCCTTCTCATACCACCACTACGCTCCTACTTGGGCTATACAGCATCCTCCCAGCATTTGCAAAGCCTCTTCAAGGGCGCGATCAAGCACCCTGGGCACAATGTTCGTTCAAATACCGTCCGCGAGCAGATTCGCGTTGTTAATTCATATCAGGTGGCGGAATAGGTTGGACTGGTGGAACGACTTGCGAGTCTGACTACACATGTGTATACCAGAATGACTATTACTCGCAATGTCTGCAGGGAACTGGTAGCACAACCAAAGTCACAACTACCACAGCGACCAAAACAAGTGCAGCTATGACCAGGGCCGCGACAGTGTATTTATGTGGTGACAGTACTATGGCCAAGGGTGGTGGCGGGAGCGGAACAGAGGGGGTATGCAGCACGTTCCCTCAGCATTTGACTTCTCCAGCGTTTTCCCAAAACTTTGGTATTGGCCAATGGTCAATGGCATCTACTACTCTTGGGCGCCTAACGATTGCCTGCTAATATGATGAACAACAGTGGGGCCAATACCTCCAATACTCGTTCTCGCAGGGTGTAGTTATTGTAAGTAATCAAGCGATTGCTGGACGGAGTGCTAGATCCTATACACGCGAAGGTCGATTCGATACGGTAGTCGGCGTTGTACAGTCGGGTGATTGGGTTGTCATCGAGTTTGGACACAATGATGGCGGATCCTTGACACCGACTGACAATGGGCGGACCGATTGCTTTGGGGACGGCACACAAACATGCGCAACAAGCTATAAGTAAGCAACTCCAATCTATGAGCATGTATTTCATGGTGCCTAACCGACTATAGTGGTGTTGCGGAAACTGTTCTTACCTTCCCGGCGTATCTCAAAAATGCGGCGGCTAAGATCTTAGCAAAAGGGGCAAAAGTCATCCTCTCCAACGCTACGCCAAACAATGTTTGGGAGTCTGGGACATGGTCGTGGGGGCCAGATCGATTCTTTTACTATGACTGGTAAGATTCAAAGCATGTTAAGGGGCGTTGTTATGCTTATTCTGACATAACGCGAAAGGCTTGCTGTTTCACAGCTCGGCGGGCCATCGAAAGGTGCCTACTTCGTTCCTCATGGCGAGTACGCAGCTCAGGCAATGAAAAATTTGGGTGCCGCCACAGTGAATGCTAATTACCCCAACGATCACACGCATACGGCACCTTACCTAGCTGATGTCATGGCCAAGGCCTTTGTATTGGGTCTCAAATGCGGTACTAGTTTGTTAGGAGGGTTGGCTCTTAACTCTACGTCCTCCTTGACGTCGACTTTTCTTGGTGCATGTCTTTCAGGCTTCAATTCAACTGTAAATGGACTTCTGAAGTGAGACTAAAAGGGCTTGTCTAAATTTATGTGCCGTTCGAGTACGCTTTAAGATGGACTAAGCTGTTTTTACCACATCTTGTTACAACTTTCTGTATATGTTGTTGCATACTTAGGAGATGTGATAGTTTTACGTGGCCTCTCGATCGCTCCACATCTGAGCGCACATCTCTGAATCCAACAAAGGATAAAGTCGAACGTCTTTAACATGTACATACAGCTGCTGGGCTATTGAAATAGTTGCTTGACTCCGCATCCCAGCTGGTTACTGCTACATAGGTTGGTTTTATATAGTCAATAAGGGACATATATGTACATAACAGACAGAGCCTCACCTGACGCATCGATGCTGCCGTGGGGAGGATGAAAATAGCGCGGGAGATTTCACAGTAGGACGCCTCATTGAGTTAAATGGTAGAGGTCTGGTGAGAGTCGAGAAATGTCGCGATCATTCGTAGGCCGAATCGTAGAGAAGCTTCGCAATATTCGTATACCCTCGGCGTTCGGCCACTTTGAGGGGCCTTGCTCCGCTTGAGTTCGTAATCTGGATGTTGGCTCCTTTCCCAACTAGTACTCGCACGGCTTCAATGTGGCCCTTATCTACAGCTGAGTTCAGTGGCGTCCACCCTTCTGAGTTCTGCATATTGATATCAGCTCCATGCTTTATTAGAACTCGCATGACATCAACATAATTTCTGTTAGCAGCCGAATTCAGAGGTGTCCATCCATCATTGTTGCATTTATTAACCATGGCCCCAGCTTCGAGCAGGAGGCGAACAACTTCAACATGACCTTTGTCGGCGGCAGAGTTCAGTGGGCTCCATCCACCAGAGTTCTGCAGATCAACCTGAGCTCCATGATCTAACAAGACTCGTACAACATCGACGTGAGCACGAGCTACGGCTGAGTGCAGGGGTGTCCACCCACGTTCGTTAACCCTGTCGATGGAGGCGCCTGCCGCAAGCAAAGCCTGCGCAACTTCAACGTGGTTCTCGTCTGCCGCTGAATTCAATGGTGTCCAACCAGAATTATTTGGCTTGTCGACTTTGGCTCCGGCTGCGAGCAGCATGCGCACGACTTCTCCTTTGCCGCGCCCTGCCGCCCAGTTCAAGGCCGTAATCCCTTTGTCGTTCGACTCATCGATGACTGACCCAGCTGCCAACAACAACTTGACAGTATCCACGTTACCCTGATAAGCGGCTAGCATCAATGGTGTCGCGTTTTTGGCGGTTCTGTCTTCTACCTTGGCTACATTGGCGAGAAGCAGGCTTACAACATTGGTATGACCTTGGCTGGCTGCTGAGATGAGTGGGGTGAAACCTCTGTTATTAGGCTTGTGAATATCCACACCATGCTGTATAAGTAACTTGACCACGTCTAGATGATTGGCATCGGCGGCACTGTTCACGGGCGTCCATCCTGCATTATTGGTGATCTCGGCATCGGCCCCGCGCTGAAGCAAAAACCGGACAACTTCAAGATGACCATAGCGCGCGGCTGCATTGAGGGGCGTGGCGCCGTCATTGCCCTGTGCATTGATGTCCGCTCCGTCCTTGGCCAGCTCCTTTACATTGATCAATTGCCCGCCAGCAGCAGCACTGTAGAAAGGGCTGCACTGTTGGTCGTTGTCGGTGTTGAGAGCCGCTGTTCCACTGCCAATCACTTTGCTGTCTGATTTTACATCTGTTTTCTTGGGCGTCTGTCTCGCCGAGGGCGAGGTTGAAATTCCGTGATTTCGGTGCTGCTCCGCGGGATATTCGGAATACGGGGGAGGCGGGAGATCGTTGGCAGCTGGGCTGACTTCCGCTACCTTCTCCGCCCGCGACGAAAACAGTCGCCTCCAAAGAGCCATTGCCTTTGACGAGGGTCTTATGGCCCCGGCCGTAGGTTGTAGGTGGTGGGAGAACCCTCGACAGGGTTTGACAGACTGAGCTATGGCCGCTGAGTTGTATGGCTGAAATGATCAAAACACTTCGCTTTGGCTCCCGAATCAATTAACTCACTAGTTATTTGCCCGTCAACTATCCGACGACTTATTAGGCAGTGTGGGGAGCAGATCTACACAGCCCATAGTTAGAACCGAGCTACGCAAATATGTTCGGCTCTCTAACTTGACCAATGACTCGCGAAGCTACAACTCGTGAAAGGGCGTCTTTAGAAACTCTCCGCGTTGGCCTAACGCAGGATCAAAGGCGCCCGTAACGTTGTCCGCTTAGCCGAAATCTGCCTCACTGCTTAGCCCACATGTTAGGCGACACAGCCACAGGCTTCACGCCCAGCACCTGACCAGAGCCCAAAGTCGCCGCCTGAACAAGGTGAAAGGCAACTTTTCACTCCTAGCATGGGTCTAATTCGAATCACCTTATTCATTCACCTTTCTTGTTGAATGAGTCTGTATTTCAAGCCTACAAGACAATGGCAAGAATACAGATGCTAGACCCCGACGACCTTCAGAAGTATCATCTCCCTATTGGGCTGCTTGGTTTCATCAACCAGCTAGCCAATTTCTACGTCCTGCTCTCTTTCACATGCGCTCGTCGTCCGCTCTGGCCATGGCGTCCGATCCAGCACCAAGGCTACAGCACCTTCATTTGCTGCGTCGTCATGATTTTGGTCATCGGGTTCGACGCTGACAGCATCTCCCATCTCGACCACTGGGAACTGATAACCAGCGTCGTTGGAAATATGGTCCTTCTCATATCTTTCATCGGGATTGCGTTAGGTGGATGTCACAGCCAGACTTCCCAAGTAGCAGCAGCTGGGCCACAAGCAAACGCAGTCGAATCACCACAGTCCATCGGCCTCAACGAGCGTCGCGAGACTGGATATTCCCGGGACCTCGAGAGGTGTGATATAGTTCTGGATGACAAAGGCAACACTTTGGACATTTCGAAATCAGGATCGTCCGAGTCGGAGATTCTAGGAGTGCCAGAGAACCCTGCCAACCGAACGTCTACAAAGGACGTCGACCCTATGGCATCACTATCTACGTCAACGACCATTCGAGAGGAACCGACTGAACTTCCACCACCGCAGAAAGCACCTGACACCGATACAGGCGCCGCATTATACATGCTCATCTTCAATATGCCCGGGACTATCCTTGTCTTTGTCGGCCTTGTTGGCCACTTAGCTCGCGATCTTCCAGCAGACTGGCGCGATATCAGCCAGCTACGATCCATAGTTATCACATTCAGCATCTTCTTAGTGGGCACGGTGCTGTGCATTATCGCTTCAGCCCTTCGCGCAGTAATGCGGGAAGAAGAGGCAAGTGACGAGTTGGTACCAAAGAAGAGTCACACATGGAAGGACTCTGTTTTCCTCGGCAGCATTATTCTCAGTTTCTTCGTGGTTTCTTTCGACAAATGGCTACTGGCCGCTCTGACCGGTGATATTAATGGGGCCAAACACATCCTCAGCGGGGGATCCTTGCCTCTGGTTTATATGATTTTAACGAAATTGCCAGCGCTTGCTTTGTAGTTATTGAGCTAAGATAATGATTAACGATTATGTATACGACCTACGTCAAATTGCCCTCGTTGCCTATGTCTCGTATAGGAAAGCAGTAGTGTGCTCAAAGGTATTACAGGAAGGCTATAGATGAATTATCATCATGCCATCTAAACGGCATACCAAGCCATGGCTGACTAGATTGAGCTTAGGGTTGTCTGGGCTTGTACGGAACCATATCTATTCACTATGGTACGATTTCCTTCGTCCAACTCCAAACGATGTCCCGGAGCCTGAATATGGTAGATGCATAAAGAGGTCTAACAATTTTGGATAGATTGGAGTTCTGCAAATTACGTCAGAAAAAGACGATCCATTATGTTTGATGATGAGATTTTACCCAAGTCCTGTCACAGGGTCCCATCCTTTCGTCACATGAAACCCGTTGGTCCCACAGCCGGGATTCGATCCACTTACAATGTCGTGAAAGACCTCTAGATGTTCATACTATTATCGTCAGCGAATGTGGCTTACAGCACTATATTCTTGTTCGAGATACCCACAATAACGGGATGAATGAAACCAATAGTTGACATATTAGCTGCCAAGCGCTCTTCGTTGATCAACGTCAAGATAGACGCCCAAATCGGCACGGCGACAGATGTACCTCCAACCCTATCTGCTCTGCCCTCGTTGAATATTCTGTAGTTCTCTCCAATGGCAGACACATCGGGATAGCCTCTTCCAGCCTTATTGAAGCGAAGGCCAGGTTCCGATCCGATATTGCTATAGTTGTTTCCGCCCCCAATGTAGCCATCGAAGGGAAGTTGCGCTCGTCGAAGATAATCTCTAACATGGTCCTTCTGCCAGGGAGGTGTGGAAAACACATTGGAGAAGCCACCTCCTGAGGGGAACCATGTTGTCGCTAGCTCAACGTATTTCTGAGGCTCCTCGTTGTCTTGAAACAGCTGTGTGGCTCCGACTGAGAGGACATATGGACAGTTCGACATAGTTCGTGGAGTGAAAACTTCTCTGTCCGGTCCGAGACAGCCCAAATAAGGATCCGCGGATCTGCCACCAACGCCATGATCTCCTGATGACTCAACCACTGTCACGCCCTGCAGGCCGAGCTTGAGGATTTCGACACACTGTCGCTGCATATAGCTATATGGTAGATCATGCTCGACGCCGCTGTAGGAGATCGAAATCACATTTGTTGGTTTGTATGTGCCACACATGAGCTGTCCCTCGTATCCACCTGATTCGAGGTTCGGATATACTGGATCAGCGCACTCCGGCCGTTTGCAATTTCCTTTCTCGCCAAACGCTGAAAAGGAACAGTAACTGCCATCAATGGCGTCAAAGAAAGCTTGTGATCATCAGCTTCGTGTAAAAGGGTGAAGGTCGCTGCAGACATATTTTCTCACTGTTGAAGAAGCCCGTCCAGACCGTCGTGCGTGTCAGCATATCTTCTTGATACCATTCATCATCCGTTTGATACAGGACAGTCTTCTGTGGCCATACGAGTGGTATTCCTATTTGAAAATCGAGATCTGCCTCCTTGCCCGCTTCATCAATGTTGGTTGTCGGGCCTAAAGCACCGTTGATGGAACGCAGTTCTGGATGTGTGCCTTGGGGGATGTGTCTGAGAGCAGAGCTGAGTAAATAAGTCCCATGGCAGTTTGGCTGATGAGTGCGTACGGTGCTAAGAATCTAAAATACTTGTCCAGATCATCTTGGTGGTAGTGTTGACCAAGAGATTGAAAGATACCTAGTTCGTTGCCGGGAGTTGCTGTGGTCCCGTTTGGCATTTGATATTGTGCTGTGGTCCAGGTCCTAGCAGTAAGCCAAACCATATTGTTCTCAAGTTGGATCAAACTTGCCTCGAACACACTCAGGAGTGACCTCTAGGTCACAGCCGCCAGTAATTTGAAAGTCCTCTGGTTCGATTAGTTGGACATGGGTGATATCGATGTCAATATTTCTCCTCTCCCTCGCCCCTTTTCTCCTTTTTGCAAAGTTCAAAACTTTGTCATCATATCCAATGGAAATTAACTTGATTCCTGGCGTAATATAGTCAAGTTCGCTGCTTATATCATGTGGTAAATAGTATCTAGTGGCACGTAAGGAAAAAATCCAGCCACGCCAATACGAGGTTTTACGAACTCGGAGGTTGCAATATTCTCAATGCCACTTTCAGCGTGCTCCCATATGTGATACGTAGTATGTAATAACTCTTCAACCTCTTCAACTGCAGCATCGAATTGAATCCACTAAAGCACATCTCAGCTTTATTTGTCATACATGTGCAGAGCCATCCCACCTGTTTGTTTGCGGATTGAGACAGACGACTTGCTGCAACCCCAGCCGATATAAGCCAGTCTTGCACCGCTTCCACACTTGACTTAGGCGGCGCAAACATTTCAGTGACCTCCTCCAATGACATATGTTGGCCATAATGAGGCGAGTTAGGCATCGATCTGCTTGCTGTTTGAATTCTTAATCATGCCATCGTGACCAGGGCAGGTTGAATTACATCTTCATAAGCGCCTCACGGCCCTTTTCCACATTCTTCTGATTAAGGCCGATCCGCATCGGCACTTTCCCCTGGGGATGTGCGCGTTTCCCTCGAGTCCAGCCGCGGCTGTTACGAGGCTCCTGCCACTCATGGCGCACATGTGAAGCAGGGACATGCTTGCGTTTAGAGAGATTATCGTGCTTGACGCTGTCAACTTGATGTTTCCATAGCGGTCCTGCTACCGCCTCAATGACCAAGAGGATAAAAATAATTGCGAAACGTAAGAACTGCATGGGGACAACCAGGCTGTATTGCTATTCCTCTCTAGGACTCTCGCCGTAAAAAAAGTCAACTGCGAAAGACGTTACATTTAATAGAAAAGGAATTTGAAGATCAGAAAGAATGCGATACGATCGCTGAAAATAGCAAATCGCCCTGGTCCATGCTAGGAAGGATCTGCATTCCGGTACCAAGCCCGTGGACTCTGGTTGATGAGTGATAAATGAAGGGCTAGCAGTTGAATAGCCGGAGATTATTGAGGTGTTAATATCATATAGTGGTCATTTGCGCAGGCATTGCGGATCATGACATTCCGGATAAACGTAGCGTGAAAGTACCATAGCATTCATCCACTACCCGTAGATTATGATAAAGCGATGGTTCGAAAGATTTGTAAGTATATTTGGCTTGCCAGTTACGTCCAAGGATAGCTGAGTGAGTACTTTTGGTTAGAACCCCTTTGAATGAGCATCATACTATGAAATAGGAGATTTTTGTAGGTCATGAATATTGTATTCGTAGCACATGGTCGTAGTCTACGACTCAAGTGCAGAGTCTAGGTGTCAAAAGCAACAGCCAGAACGCCAGAAGAGGGTGATCCTCCCGCACACACCCTCATCACCTTTTGCATACATGATACATCAAGCCATTAGTTCGGCACCGTTCCGGATCACGCCCACGACAGCTCCGGTCTGTATAGCCTCGGCGCCACCACCGGCCACTCTATGCTCGATGTCTGCAAGGCCATCCAACCAAGTAATCATGACCTCTGGTTTCACCTCCAATTTGACAATCTCCTCTGACAGTGCAGTAATTATATCTGCCAAGGCAAGGCCTTGAGCCACCTTCAAAGTATTGATCGTCGACAAACACGAGGTGACATCGCTGGTACTGAGAAGGGTGTTGAGAATCTCTTGGATTGCAGCTGGCGGAGGTGCTGCAATGCAGTTGTAAATCGTCTCTGTGGTGATCATCTCTCGCACAATATCCTTCTCGGGTATCTTCGGTCCGTCTCGTGGCTGCAATGGTGTACCTATGAAGCAGGTTAGCTTTCGTAATTTGGATCTACATCTACGTGAATCTTACTGGAAGCATGACAAGCTTGTAACACATTCAGTGCCCTTCGCATATCGCCCTTACTCAGGCGCACGAGCGCATCCGTTGCCTCAGGCATAATTTTGACATTCTCCTCCTCAATGACCTTGTCAACCAAAACCCGGATGTCCTGTTCTTTGAGAGGGCTAAATCTGAAGCGCGTGCATCGTGACAGTAGGGCCGGTGATAATTTGTGTGAATAGTTCGCAATAATGCAGAATCGCGTGTTGGCTGTGTACTTCTCCATGATACGGCGCAGTGCCATCTGGGCAGTGCTCGTCATAGCATCGGCCTCGTCGAGGATGATCAATTTGTAGCCGGCCAAACTCCCAGAACCAGCAGTCCGTAGAGACTGGCCCATGGTGAAGATCTGCTTGGTGGAGGCGAAAGTCTTGATCTGTTCACGGACAACGTCGATGCCTCGGTCATCGGAGGCATTGAGCTCGAGCACCATCTGCCGTACATTCTCCGCGCCGTATATACGTCTCGCGAGGGCGAGGATCGTCGATGTCTTACCGGTGCCGGGAGGACCGTAAAGAAGCAAGTGAGGAAGGCGGTTGGAGTCGACAAATTTGTTGATGGTCGCGAGAATGTCCTGGTGGCCAGAGACGTCGGCGAGAGTGGCGGGGCGGTACTTTTCTACCCTGCAAACAGACATTAGACCTTTCAAAGTGCGACCGGATGGCCAAGAAGAATAGGTTGAAGTCAAAATCCGGCGCTCACCATGGAAGGCTGTCCTCGGCCTCAACCGGAAGATTCGCCTTGCTCTGCTTGCCTTTGGTGGTATTCCCGGAGGAGAAGGTGATGTCCTTGGACGGCGCCGGAGCGTCAATGTCCATCTCGTCCTCAAAGTCCGACATCGTGGCAGGGGCGGACAAATCTGAGACTGGAGTGATGTGAGCAGCTGTGATCAAGTCTAGGGGGAGCTCTCCAGAGACTTTCGGCCACCTTGTAAGTTGTGCTGCGTGTTGTCGCTACTATCGTGAAGCCGTTTCCTCCACTGAAACTACACGACGCGTCGCGTCAATCTGCACGCGGGGTGCAGGCAGACACGTGATCACCATTAATTGAGCGGGGCAAGGTTCACCTGAATTAAGTAAGCTTACTTATCTACCTTCCCAGGCACAGGTCCACGTTACCCCACAAACACCTGCACTCTTCGATTTCCCTTCACCAGCCTCGGCTCTGTCGATGTTCCTTGGTGGTTGAATCATGGAATGATGCGGTCCGCGATAACCTGCTTACTCCTTGACAACATGCTGAGCACGACGATTCCTAGCTAACGTCATGTTCTGCGCCGTACCTGCCGATCTTTTCCAGTCTTTGTTTCTCCGCCGGCGAGCTTCATCAGCATTAGGCGCTGCTTGCAGGACTTGGGCACATCACGTGGTTGTCCAAAGGCACATGTCGATACAATCCAAGCCGACAACGGCTATAATCTCTCTTCAGATGTTGATTTCGTGTCATATTCTTGATCTACAATATTTGCGGCCATTGCCGCTTCCCGTTCCACTCGCTTTGAGACTCAAGCGGCAAGTTGCAATCGTTTGCCCCTGTCCAGTCCCTGTGCCCGGAACCCTCGCAACCCTCTCAAGTAGCTCGTTGAAATTGAACCTGATGTCCCCACCCATTCCTGAGCCTGTCAAATGGCAAGAAGGTGCTGCGACGGTCTTCTACTAGACTCGGCGCTATTCGCTTCTTTACAGTCAAAGCATTTCTGAACCGGTTTTGAATATGGCGGTGCTCGATGACTTTCTTCGAAGAGCGCCGAATTCGGCTCAATGACATGGAGATTACACCAGAAAATTCTCACGTGGTTCCACGGAGAGTACTGGATTCAGACTGTCATGCAATCAAAAGCAATCGCTCAAGTCATTTCACGCTTTGACCAGGGAGGCTCATTGGTCATAGAAGCCGGAGGACATCGAGACTAGGCTCTGCCCGTCCGATCTCCTTGAAGACCTAACAATGTGCCGTTGGGATGATTGCAATACATCAGAGTCACTAGCCTCGAAGACACTCTGCACCTCAGCTTCCCCACATAGCCAAGAGGCCAGATGGTGGTGACTAGGCTGGCCCAGGAAGTTGCTGCGCTCTGGCTTCTCCAAAATCTCGGTTTATCACCCTACGATGTTTCCACCCTCCCCGCACTAGAGCCACGCGACCCCCAGGGTCCCACTACTTTGCTGGCTTTGTTATTGGTTTGTAATCTGGGAGTTTCTCCCACTGCCGAGATGGTGGACTCGACCCCATTCTGCAAGTGAGACGGCCCGAATGTCATCGATATATTTCTCCCGGTGTTTTGCCGGCCATTAAACTTGGGCTCTCTGTCGGCCACTTGGCGGCCACGATGGCGCCTTGGACATGACGGAGACCTCATCGTCACCTGCAGTGCTTGCCACACTGACGAGCATGTAGTTCCGGCTCCGTGGATCTGGTATAGCCGAGCGGGCACGAGTTTTTCTTCTAGGTACATCTGTCGTAGCTATATAGAGCTCATCTATAGTCATGCTTCAGGTGGAGGGAGACGGTTGTCACGGACATTTTCCTTTGTCGAGACTGACTATCAAAGCATGCTCGTCAAAATGCTGTCGTCTCTTTTGCCCGCTGCTGCTTGGGTGATTTTAATCACCCATGGTGTTAATGCCCAGAACAATGTCATCACAAGTGATACTTTCTTCTATGGCCAGTCCGAGCCGGTGTTTCCAACTCGTAAGGCTACAATACCAAGTACAAGATGCCGAACTGAATAAAGTTCTAGCGCAACAGCAAGACACGGGGGCGTGGGCGGATGCCATAGCAAAGGCAAACAGCTTGGTTGCTCAGATGACAATTGAAGAAAAGGTCTTGCTGAAAATTTGCGAATGATGTTGATCATCTACTCACACGAATCTATAGGTGAACTTGACTGGCGGTGTCACCTCTGATACCGGCTGCTCTGGTTTTATCCCCGCAATTCCCCGTCTGGGATTCCCCGGTCTATGTCTAGCTGATGCTGGCAACGGCGTCAGGGCCACCGACTACGTAAGCGCATGGCCATCTGGTATACATGTCGGTGCAGCCTGGAATCGTGATCTAGCACATCGGCGAGGTCATTTCATGGGCCAGGAAGCAAAGACGAAAGGTGTCAATGTTCTCCTGGGTCCTTTGGTAGGTCCTGTTGGCCGTGTTGTTCAAGGAGGACGTAATTGGGAAGGTGTGTCTTCAGTCACATTGAATTCCCCTTCCACTCGGTAGAGACGGTGCCTAAACTTTCTTGTAGGCTTCTCAGTCGACCCCTATCTTACAGGACGGCTTGTCTATGAGACTGTGAGTGCCACTCAGGATGCTGGTGTCATCACAAGCACGAAGCACTTCATTGCCCAAGAACAAGAATCGCATCGCTTGTCAAGCACGTCGCCTATCGTCACGGAGTCAGTATCCTCAAATCTTGATGACAAAACAATGCATGAACTATACCTTTGGTAAGTGACCTTGAAATTTGTTTTTCTCTATTGCTAATTGCCCGTCTTAGGGCCTTTTACGATGCTGTGCGTGCTGGTACTGGTAACGTCATGTGCTCTTTCAACAGACTCAACAACTCATATGCATGTCAAAACAGTAAGGCACTGAATGGTCTGTTGAAAGGCGAGCTAGGCTTTCAAGGATGGGTGGTATCTGATTGGGGTGCCCAGAAGTCTGGCGTCGCATCTGCTGTGGGGGGTCTTGATGCTGCCATGCCGAACTCTTCAGGAAAATGGGGTGCCAACCTTACCCTAGCCATATCCAATGGCACGGTTCAAGAATCTCAGCTCGATAACATGGCAACTAGGTATGTCAATATTTCTAGCTGCACCAGACTATGACTGACAGCTCAAAGAATAATTGCGTCATGGTATCAAATGAAGCAAGATCACCCCGACTTCCCTGCCCCTGGCTATGGCATGCCCTCTGACTTATCGGTACCGCATGTTGTGGTTGACGCACGTAATAAAAGTTCAAAACAAACTCTGTTGGATGGAGCTGTCGAGGGCCATGTGCTCGTCAAGAACACAAAGAACGCGTTGCCCCTGAAGTCGGCAGATATGAAGCTCATCTCTCTGTTTGGTTACTCCGCCAAAGCACCTAACAAGAACAATTTTGAACATCCTGGAACGGGTCTGTTCTTCTCCTCATGGGGCGTCGGTGTTCAATCCGCAAACATTACAGAAGTCAACTTGGGCTGGTTCGGCAATCTCAACATTGCATACTCTGATATCGCCATCAATGGGACGCTGATCTCCGGTGGCGGGTCGGGCGCGGCTGCTTGGAGTCTCATAAGTGCACCGTATGATGCACTCGTAGCTCGTGCACAGGAGGATGGAACAGCATTGTACTGGGACTTCGAAAGTGCCTCTCCTCTTGTCAACCCCACATCAAACGCTTGTCTTGTCTTTGGCAACACATGGGCATCCGAAGGCTACGATAGACCATCTGTCCGCGATGACTTCACTGACGCTTTAATCTTGGATGTGGCTGACCAGTGTGCAAATACTATTGTTGTTTTCCACAATGCTGGCACACGCCTGGTTGACCAGTTCATTGACCACCCCAACATCACCGCTGTAATATTTGCTCACCTTCCAGGTCAGGACAGCGGCCGCGCCTTAGTGTCCCTCCTATATGGCGATGAGAATTTCTCTGGCCGATTGCCTTACACGGTGGCACGCAATGAGACTGACTACGGAGCACTACTCAAGCCTGACGTGACAGTGTCAGGTCGTTATCAGCACTATCCCCAGTCAGACTTTTCAGAGGGTGTTTTTATTGACTATCGGCATTTCGACGCTCAGAATATCACACCTCGCTATGAATTTGGGTTCGGCCTAAGCTATACTACTTTCGACTACTCAAGTCTGATCGTCTCTAAGTTACAAATGCCATACAAGCCGTATCCTACAGGATCGATTGCACAAGGTGGTCAAACGGACCTATGGGACGAATTGGCGATTGTCTCCGCAGAGGTAACAAATACGGGCAGCGTGGCCGGAAAAGAGGTTGTCCAGCTATACCTAGGCATCCCAGGTGACGACACCCCTGCCAGACAGCTCCGCGGATTTGAGAAACCGTCTATCCAGCCTGGGGAGACTGTCACGGTTCAATTTCCTTTGACAAGGCGGGATTTGAGTGTGTGGGATGTGGTCGCACAAAAGTGGCAACTTCAAAAGGGGCAGTATAAGGTCTTTGTTGGAAGCAGCAGTAGAAACCTGCCCCTTGAGGGCTCTCTTGCTGTAGGCTGCAAAAACAAATCCCGCCGTTAGCAATGAAGATAGTCTCGTCAGTAATCAACGACTTCAAGGCTTGTCATCAATACCGAGAAGCTCTTTCATTTGGTCTCTATGACATGGCACAGTAGTGCTCGCAACTGCAACCCCGGCTTACTCCCTCTGATCTGAGTTCAAATAATAGCGAAATCGATTTCCTATCCCATTCTAATTATTATCACTAAGTTGTTCTCGAAGCCATCGTACAGGAACAGTTACAAGTAAGCTCGTATCAGTACTGAACCTGCTTTCCGTCGAGCCATTTGCCATCTTCCCAACCGATCATGGCTTGAGACTCCTCTCTCTTGAAGAAATGCTGCTCGTCTGGAACAACGACTCTCAAATACTCCTCGTCGGTAAAGACCTTTTACTCTATGTTAGCCGCTGTCAAGCATTGTTAATGAGAAGCCGGTCTTTTACCGCCAGCAAATCCTCCATACTCTTCACCTACAAGCTCGCTGCACCATCATATGGTGTCATTGATAGACCCATTGACGCGTCGATAAGTGAGTTGTTGAAGTGAAACTGCGAGTACTTGACGATCTTCGCTTTGACTATGGCCACCGACAGCCAGGCTTTCGGGTGCTCTTCTGACCAGCTGGAGAGAGAAAGTATTAGTGTCCACGCAACAGGACTACAATGATGGAACCACAGTTGAGCACTCACTATCTATGAAACTCCTCTGTCGTGATATCGTCACGCTTCCGGATGAGGAAGGAGATCTTGATTAACTTTTCTGTCGTCGACATTTTGAGATTCAATTATTCTGGGGTTGTTTGAGAAGATCTGTTCAGAAAGGTTTACTAATGGTGAGATGGTCATAGTGAATTCCTTCAATGATTGACAATCCCTTTTCTTTTATACAAAGATGAGGCCGACTTTGGTGCATCTACCTCTAAGTGTTTTTCAGTGACAGGTATAGCGGATGCGAACCAAATCCGCGCTGTTCAGACCCCTGTAGTCACAAATGCGAATGCGAGTCGCAATCATTGGCCCAGACAATCAATCAACGCCAGTGCAAAAAGCGTCACAAGCTGGAGCAGGCGGTCGCTTTCTCTTTGTTGAGTCAATGGGGCTCGATCAGCCCACTTCTAATTTCATGGTCAATTGGTCCGACGGCGTAGAATGCTGTCGCGGGCACGGAATGTGATTACTGAAGCGTCCTAACAAAGCCGTCAGGCCAACCGCGAAAGTCGGGTCTAATATAGCAAGCCGCCGCGGCTGTATCATCCATCATGCATTGCAGATACGGCAGATTAAAAGGATTCTATCCCCCCTAAAACTCCCCTTAAAGTACCTGGACTTTCTTGCACATAATCAATTTTACAAATCACACTACCCTTTATGGTCGACATTAGTCGATAGATAGCAGCTTAGACCACGATATTGAGTTAACTTCAGTCGAGCCTCATCATGCTCGAGGTTGCTACAGTGTCAGCGGATCTCAATAGTTAAATCATATCGAGGATATGGGAATATTGTATTTTATGCTAGGTAGAGAAGAATTTCGATCTATACCTTGACTATCTTGAATCCCACTTTTGACAGTCTCAAAGCCATAAGGAAAACGGTTGTCAAAACAAGAGTGAACCCCGAAAAGAGTTGAACTCCCAGGTATTTGCCTGTTGACTTGAGTAGTGCGCCACAGACTGGAGGGCCAATAAGTGACCCAAAGCCATTGAACACGGACGCCATGCCCATCCATGTTCCTAGGAGGCCAAGGTCTGGTATGATGGACGCTAGAACAACGGCGGGCAGTGAGATAATACCGCCCGAGGTGAAGCCATATGCTATTGCAAATGCCAGATCTTCAGCCATGTCATGAACCGCTATCCAAGTGAGAGTCGCAATTGCGACAAGAGCAGAAGCCATGCAGATCATGTTAGTCGGTCCAATTCTCCCAGCAATCAGAGACGGGATAATCCTTCCCGGAACAGATGCTGCGTTCGCAATAGCGACCAGATAATATGCAAGCTCTCGGCCTTGCATTCCGTGTGTGAGTGCATAGGGTTGGAGGTAGAAGAGAGGACCAAAAAAGCCGACGTAGCTGAAGAACATAGCCGTGAGATAGAAGAGGTAGGCTCTGTTCTGAAATGCAGCAAAGTCCACTAGAGAACGTCTTTTTTTCGGCTTGCCTCTCGGTCGCATCACGACCAGCGAAAACGAACAGGTGATGAAACAGATGAAGCCGAGGACGCGTGTAGCCCAAGGAAACCCGACTCTGGGTAGGAGACTCTGAAAGATCAGAGGGTAAATGGTCCCCCCTAGACTGCTTCCTGAAGTCACAATTCCCGTTGCTATCGCCCTTCGCTTGACAAAATACTGAGGTAGAAGGGCTAAAGACGGGATGAAGAGGCATCCGGTGCCTAAGCCAATGCAAAAGGCCTGAGCAAGCAAGATCTGCCAGTATGCAGTACACAGACTGGTCATCATGAAACCGAATGATGTCAAAGATATACCTACGATGACGAGTAACCGAAAGTAACCAGCATCGTACAATGGGCCAACTACAACTCCAATAAGCAGCAGGAGAAAAGATTGGACGGAGCCAATCCAGGATATTGCATCAGGAGACTGGCTCTCGAGGAGATCTTCCTCGTAGTATGTCTGAAAGCTCCCGTAGGAGTTCACAATGCCCCTACAAAGGATTAGTCTTAATATCATGTTGTTTCCTGTTCTATGCTGGTACTCACCAGGAGTTGAAGAAGAGAGCAAACGATCCAGCAACCTGTAGCCATGCGAGGAAACCGCCATCCACTCGTGGCTGGACAATGTCCTCGGAGGTCTCGACTACTAGCAACGACGCAGCAATTGGTTGACTGCCAATTGCTTGGTCGATGTCTTTGTCGCTCTGGCTTTCCGTCATGATGGGCAAAGTTTCTGCACACTGCACTAGCTCTAGTGACGGTGTGCCTTATTCAAGCATTTCACTCGCGCGCCGCCCTACGAAAGATCTCCCAAAGAAAACAGATCATAACCCATTGCAATGTTGACAACAAGAGTAAGTTTTTTTCGAGTAAACATATGTCCATGAGAGATCAATCCAGAAGACAGCGCATCTTCAATTGCGTCGGCTTCGGAATCGGCCTAGTGAGCCGAGCGCCGACCCGATCTCAGCGATCTGAGTGGAGCCCAGTTTCTTCAAACGATCAGCCAAGCCGGCCAAGCCGGCCAAGATGGCCAAGCTGTCCGGGCCGAAGCGTACAACGGGGTTGCAGATTTGACAGCCCTTCAATGACTTGGACGAAATTGTTATGATCTTCGATCTATGACCAGTTTCATTTCGAAGGGCATCTGTAGAAGTATTGCGATGCAACGAAATACTTGGAGTGCTAACGACATCATTCCTTGGGAGAAAAGCAGGCATGAAAGAAACAGTCGCTCTGCTGAATAGGAATACCAGCAATCAAGAATCTCGAAAAATTCGTCGCATTACCACTCTTTTAGCGAAGCGGCCTTACTAATAAAAGGCGAGAGCTTGCAGCCATGCATTTACCTCACCGATGGCAATCGCCGCCTTACCCAAGAGGCTCGATAATTCGAGCTTGAAGCGTGCAGCATAACAGCTTGAGAGGTCAGCCAACTCTATTATGGTGATGAACTTCTCGCAGATTCTGCTTCTTGTTCGCTCCGAGCGGACACTTATAGCACGAGACTTCCTTAGAGTTAGACCATAAGACTGAACGGTGAAGCGTAGATACTAGGTAACTCGGGCGGCCCAGCCTCTTACTAGATCGAGGGGTGTCAGCCATTATGTTGCAAATAGTCTCGGACGGGTTGTCAATAGCGCCGCTCTCGTTGGAGACAGTGAACCCGGATGGCCTGGAGTACGAGTGAGCAGGAGCAGGGTCACCGAGTTGCCCGAGACCGAGACGAGTGGCCACGTGCTTCAAAGCAGTGGCATGCAACGAGGAGCGTCGGGAACCGGCACCGGGCAGCGGTGCCCACGTTGTGCCCACGTTGTGGGTTGCTGGAAGCGGACGAAGCCAAGAAGAGGACAAGGAACCCGTTCGGCCGTCATCAGCGAGAACAAGCTTCCCAAGCTCGACAAGCTTTTGCGCCACGAGGAAGCGCGTCTCAACCTCAACGGCGCTATGAGGCTTGTCTGCTTGTTTGCATGTATCTTTTGAGTCTAGTCTAGTCTAGTCTCTTCAGATCGCCAGGGTCGGGTCGCGGTCTGCCTGGTGTTGCTGTTGCAGGTGGAGAATAAGAAAGACGGACCACCGTTCGTGTGTGGCGCTGCGCCAATGTCAAGAGCCAGAGCACCCCACGTGTTGCATCTGCAACCCCCCCAAACCTCCCCAATCTCGCAAACTCACCCAAGACGTTCCCTGCAAGAGTGCAGCAGCTTGCACCTGCACTGCGTCACCTTCCCAAGGCATCGCAGCGCCGCCTGCAGCTCCCTCAGCTCCTATTGATCTATTCCCATGTCGTTGACCGACGCAGCAGCCTGGCGATGCGTAATTTCATCTGCTCGCAATCTGTTTGGCTGCTCAGCATCAGCAGCCGGCCATCTCCACCCTGGCACTCGCTTCACCGCGCCATCATAGTATTGGGCCCCTTCCTTCCACGGACTCGTGCGCCGCTCATTGTTCTACCGCAAGCTCAAGCTCAAGCCCCCGTTCGGGATTGCACGGCGCAACTACTATGTAGAAGGGCTACCCGGCGGGGGGACTGTCAAACACAATGGCTACCGGATACGATGCGACACGGGCAAAGCTCACAAGCTCGCTCGAGGATTGACTGAGCCTCGGTGAAGTGGCAAGTGGCTACAGAGGATGTTGTGATCAGGCATGACATGACATACGTGTGCAAGAGACGGCGATTCTCTGCGTCATGCTTCTCATCCGCCCGCCAAGCCATGAAATGTTTCCAGAAGGGCGGCTTTGGAAACATTCACTCGCGCTTCTGCACCACAAGAAATGCGCCATGGGTAATCCCCGCAGGGGCAGCAGAGGTTGGGATTAAGACGGCCATTAATCCTGGATCCCTGGCCTGGCCTGGCCTGGCCTTGCCAAATGGCAAATGGCATGGCAGCGCATAGCAGCGCATAGCAGGGCATGTGGAGGGTGGTATTCTGCCGACGAACCAATCGTCCTCGTGCCATTACACGGGCAAGATGGGAATCCCTCGTGCCTCCGCAGTTCGACCGTGTGCACTGTCTGCGTGCCCCACCGTCCTTCTCTTCGAGACTGTCAACAGCTCTCTGCCTGTACTTGGTGGGAAACGTGCCTGGAGCCGGGCAGGATCGACGGGTATTTATCCTAGGTGCCCTCCCCGAGCTGTCGGGTTCAACCTCTGAATCTGGCATCCCGATTTCAAGTCAAGTCGAGAGCATTCGCCGCCAAGCCAAGGCAAGATGCGCGCGCAAGCTATCACCCTCCTGGCCGCTGCCGGGTCGGCACTCGCCCAGACTCAGTACACGGCCACCTCGACAAAGGACGTCTATGTCGCCCAGGCCACCGCAAAGAGCCTGAGCCCCACGAGCAATGTCAAGGGCAAGATGTTCGACCGCCTCGCAATCATCTGGCTCGAGAATACTGACTATGAGCTCGCTGCCGGAGACCGTATGGACCTCCCCCTTTGCCAATTGACTCTGTCTGAAGGCCCCAAGTATTAACTCTCGTCTATAGCGAATCTTGCCTGGCTGGCCACCAAGGGTATCACTCTCAGCAACCATTTCGCTGTGACGCACCCGTCCGAGCCGAACTACGTGGCTGCAATTGGTGGTGACTACTTTGGCATGAACAACGACAACTTCAACTTCATCGACGCCAATGTGTCGACCATCGTTGACCTGCTTGACGCCAAAGGCATCAGCTGGAGCGAGTACCAGGAGGACATGCCCTACAGCGGTTTCGAGGGCTTCGCCTGGGTAAATCAGCAGAACGGGGCCAACGACTACGTCCGCAAGCACAACCCGGCCATCATCTACGACAGTGTCGCCAAGAGCGACGACAGAATCGCCAAGACCAAGAACCTAACTATGTTCTGGAAGGACCTCGAAAACGAGACCTTGCCCCAGTGGATGTTCATCACCCCTAACATGAGTAAGCCGAGATATCAGTCGACGCATTGATCACTTTAAAGACTAACAGCGCATCAGCCTCTGATGGCCACGACACCTCTGTCACTGTGGCAGGTACCTGGACTCGCACCTTCCTCGAGCCCCTCCTGAATGATAAGCGCTTCATGAACAACACCCTCGTCCTGATCACTTTCGACGAGAACTCAACCTACGCCAAGCAGAACCGCATTCTCGGAATCCTCCTTGGAGACGCTGTCCCCGAGAAGTACGTCGGCACTACCGACTCCAACTTCTACAACCACTACTCCGAGATTGCCTCCGTCTGCGCCAACTGGGACCTCAAGACCCTAGGCCGCTGGGACGTCGGCGCCAATGTGTGGCAGGTCGTGGCCGAGAAGACCGGCGACGTCATCCGCCCCTGGAGCGGCGACATTCCTCTGGCCCAGATGTACTGGAACCAGAGCTACGACGGCGTTTTCAACAGCGCCGTCGTTAACGGCGAGTATCCCCGCCCCAACGCTTGCATCAAGCGCAGTGGCCGCTCTATTCTGCCTGCCATCGGCGCTCTGTGGAAGGGCAACAAGAACCCCAACTATTACGAGGACAAGATTGAGATCCCCGATGGTCTCCACCCTCCTGCACACTACGGCTTCAAGGGTTAAGGGGCGTAATAGCAGCCTCTTGTAGGGAATATGTAGATCTGGCATTAGTAATTGGATAGACCATCATACTTGTAAATACAAAACTACAAATTCTCCCAATAAATATGTATCATGGGTGACTAGGCATTTCAACAGTTTGGGCAAGCAAGACACGCCGTAACAGAAGCTAGGTCCGTTACAGTATTGTGCTCTGCAAATCAAGATCCTCAAGGTTGTCAAGCATATCTGGCAACTATTGGTATAAGCGCAGGCGAGGCAATTTTTTCTAAGCCAATCTCGAGCAACAAAGACGGTCCCACAACATATTGAACCCGGTCTCTTAGCACTCCAAGAGTAATAGCAGGAAAAGCCCGCAGTTCACTCTCACTTGATTAAGTCTCGCCAAGACCGATAGCGCCAACACGTTGCAGCTATAACATCTATACCTCTGCCGGGGTGATATTTGTTAATTCTGAGTGGGATTCGCGACTTTTCGGACAAGGGAGTTGCTACTTTTG